AAGGTGGGGGAGGAGCTAGCCGAAGGGCCCTGGACGAAGCACTGGGTCACGGTCACCATGCCAACCCACTGGGAGTAGAGCACTCATGCTTTGCTGCTTTGTCCTTTATCTGCCCGTTGCACTAATAGATGAATGATGAGGGGCAGGCCAGCCCTACCAGGGAGACGAGTATCGGGCGTCTATAAATAAACACCAGCAGGGTTACCTTCCATTGGTTGTGATTATCGTCCTGTATGTGACGTTAAATTATTCCTGAGGACTTCGGGGGTCATCCTTAAACGCCTCCTGATCAACCAATTGGTCGGTGTAAGGCTCGCTGCACGTCAGGGTAAACATTGTGCAGGGCTGGCCGGCTCAACATACACTCGGGGCACAGGGGTGGGCTGTGTGCACAACTTTAGACACGCACGCTATCTGGATCGCTTAGGGACGCCGACGTCAAGTGACAATCAAGAAGAACTAAGGGAGAGGTAGGCTTCAAGTGATCAGTTTGGGAAAGATTTCACTCTGCAAACAACCAAACAAATGATTCTATTTTTAAGTTTGATAAGTAAGATGTTACAGCCATTGACATCTGACAGACAACATTAGGTAGAATTATGCTATCTGGTTGTGGACTAATTGAGTAAAAATAGTTTCGTTTGTAGGAATCTGGATTTACCTATTGACCCGAATGTGTAGACTCTGACATAGCCACCGATTTTATTTATTTATTTATTTTTTTCAAACAAGTGCTTCATTCTATTTGTGGGGAGTAGCACGTGGTGGGAACCGGACCCAGCGTCCCATATCGAATTGTACAGATTATTGAGAAAATTTGAGATCATTTGAAATACCAGGGTCATTACCCGGCTTCGACTGAGATCAGTCTGTGAATATTTAATGACCTATTAGGGAATGACATAGCCACCGATTAATTAATTTATTATTATGAATCGGTTTGTGCATTACACTGCAGTAGGCATCGAGCGTGTCCTAGTGCAGATTGTGCATAGTGTTGTAGCTTATGAGCGGTAGCGAGGAAACTAGAGAGGACGATAGGATCATGCGATCAGCAAGGGCCCACTTGGCATTAGGACCGGAGGGCGACAGATTCCTGTTCCGCTAGCAGAGGGAGAGACAACAGCAGCAGCGGAGGGCTAGGGCCGCAGAGGCAAGCAGGGCATTCGCAAGCGAGGCAGCTACTTCAGCAGCCATGGCCACTGCTGCGCAGCAGAGCTCCCAGGCCAATAGTTCAAGAACCGTAGGGGTGACCACTGCGCAGACCCTGAGTCAGTCCACTGGCATTATGGCAAGCCAACCGTTAGTTTTGACTCCCGAGGAGATCGCCATACAACGAGCAAATGCTCAGGAGGCACAACTACAGAAGCCTTTTGGAAAGATAAGGGAAAAAAAAATGATCAGGAGAAGGGCAAGGATGCAGTGGAGACAAGCATACATTAGTGAGCTAGAGGAGATGGACATGATAAACATGGATGATGATGTAAGGACCTAGAGGACAGTCTTACTAGATGTAGTAGAAATGCAGGACCACCAAATGACTTTCTTACAGGACATCCATCAGGGTTTGGTCGCGATGGTCGGGCGAGCTCAGGCGGCACCATCACCGTTAGGCCTTGGTGCTTGCCCCATGGTACAACCTCCTCCTTTTGTCCCACCGGTAACTAGAGTATCCTCATTTGTAATCCCTCCAGCATCGGTGCAGGCCACTTCCCTAGGAATGCGTTTGAGAGGCGGGTTCGCAGCAAATCCTAGTGTGCAGATTCATGTACAGTCAGTATATTCCCAACCTCCATCGCAGGTTTCCGTAACTAGGCAGCCTGCTGTCTCCCAGCCAGCACAACCGCTAGGCACACAGCCCCAACAGCAGTTGGTGCAACAGCCTGCACCCCAGGGTCCACTGCCTAGAGTGGGGCAGGTACCGGGACAAGGCCAGTGGGTTCCAAGGACGGCCATAGCCTCACCCAAACCCTTTTCACGGGATAAGAGGGGCGAAGACCTTGACACATGGTTGAGGTCAGTGCCGGTCTACGTCAAGTGTAAGTTGACCTTGCCGCACGAGGAAGTGCTTGTGGTTCCCTCCTATCTTGAGGGGAGTGCAGCAAGATGTGCAACTGCAGGGGTACAAACATGATTTTCTCGCTTGGGTTGTCAACCAGAAACTGAAAGACTTTCTCAAGATAGTGGACGATAGGTGGCATGATCCTTAGGAGGCCCAAAAGGCCACTGATGCGATCCAGACTTAGAGCAATAGGCCGTTCAAGTCAATAAAAGATGCCATAGACGTTGTAGAGCGTCTGATCTGTGTTCCTGAAGTACGCTATGATCCCCAAGTCTTACTGACCACTTTCCTGAGGTGTCTTCCCATGCCACTCAGGAATGAGTTGGTAGGAGAGGCTAACATCAATGTGCACAACTTCCCTTCGTTTAGCAAGAAGGCTCTAGACCTGAATGCAAAGATGGGGCACAGGCACCAACCCACAACGGATGAAAGGAAGAAAACACTTCCTCCCAACTTGAAGGCGAAGGGTCGCATCATGTTCGTCGACAACGATGGTTCCTCCATCGAGTTGGACGACGACTTCCATGAGGGCGTGGGTGCAGAGGCGGGCAACGTAGAGGCTTCAGGGGGAAGAGCAGTCGTTGCCTCAGTTCAAAAAGGTAAGGGGACCGGTAGACGTCGTGGAGGCTCCCGGTCTAGGAGTCAAGTTGACCCCAATGTTCCTCCATGGGAGGAAGCAGGTCTCACAGAGGACGTGTGGAGGGACTTGTACACCCTACAAGCTTGTATCCGTTGTGGCCAATATGACCATAATCAATTCGTGCCGAAACAAGAAGGTGATCGAAAAGATCCAGCCAAAAATGGGGCAGGCGTTGGGATCCTCCATTTCCACAGGTAGCAACATGGCCAGCAGTTCTGGCACTGCTCCTGGAAATTCGTCGGGCCAGTAGGAATAGTAGTTGTTCCTACTAAGGTCGAGGTGGTGGACACACCCTCACCATCTCGAGAGATGGCCCAAGCTAATGACTCCGTAGTCGTCCCGCAAACACATTCTGACTCACCGATCCTCTATTCAATGAATGTGTTTGAATCCTTAGAGGAGTTAGAGGAGGAATGGTCTAGATTGGACCCTCTAGCTTCTTGGACGGCGATGGCCAAAACCTTTAAGGGCGAGTTGTTCATCAGCGAGGTAGTCATCGGCGGTCCCAAGGCCGAGGCGTATTATGACACTTGTTCGACGCGAAACTTCATTAGTCGCGCGTCAGAGTTCGCAACCAGGATTTTTAGGAATACCTGTAACTAAACTAACCACACACTTTTCGAAAACCAACCAACCATGACCACTGTATACCTGGCCTACCACACCTTTACCTACCTCCAACTGATGTGAAAAAAAAACGGGTACCTGTACCTGCCCATACCTGAACCTCTGCAGATTGTAACTGCCCGTACCCGTCCTTAGTTTTTTTTTTTTTTTAACCAACCATGGCTAACTGAACCCAAACCGTGTCTTAACCACCCCTACCATACCCAACCGAAATTTTCCTTACCTGTGTTCAGTCGTACCCGTCCCCACCTACCCACAATTGTATGCACCTACCCGTAATCGCCTGCACCTGTTACCCACCCTCCCCTAACTGCCCCTAACTGCTCCTAACTGTTCTAACCGCCCCTAAAACCCCCCAACCGACTCTAACTCCCCTCACAACCTTTGGGCTGTGGTCGGGGTCCAGCAGTAATAGTTGCTGCAGCTGTTGTCGCAACTGCACCGATAGTCAGATGTGGTGCATCTGCAGCAGATGCAACCCCTCCAGCAACTGCAGAAATGATGTCAATGGAACAACTGCAGCAAATGTGGTGCATTTGTTGTGCATCTGCAGATGTGCTGCTGTAGATGTGGTGCATCTGCAGCCGCAGCAGCATATGCAACCCCTGCAGCAACTGCGGAAATGATGTCAATGCAACTACTGCAGCAACTGCAAAAAAAAAAAAAAAACGGGCCTACGACTTCAGATGGTGGGAAAGGGTGGTGGGGGAAGGGCTGGGAGGGGGGCAGGTGGGAATACAAGTGGTAGTGAACCACGGGGGGCAGGTGGGAATACAAGTGGTAGTGAACCATGGTTACCCGAGTGGATCCTCTACCCGTCCGTACCCGCCCCCCATTTTTTTTGTCTGCCCCCCGTACCTGTCCGTACCGGTTTTAGTTTTATGTTTGGTTGGCCCTACCTGCCCGTGATCTTCATAAATACTAACTGTGCCTACCCGTCATCTCCAGAAAAATCAAATTTGCCTGCCCATAACCAACCCCCCCTTCGGAAAGGGGCACCCAAACCTACCCATGACCTGGCGGTTACAGTTGGGTGCGGTCGGGTACGGGTGACGGTGACCCATTTGCGCTCTCTGTCGCGCGTGATTTGAGAGGCTGCGCTTATATGGGCAAGTGGAGCGCCTGAGTCGACCTGTGCCAACAAACAGCGCATGGTAGTCAACGATTACCTTAAGAACGTTGAGTGTTGTTTCCCGCACGCGGGAGGGGAACTAAGACATTGCGTCTCGTTCCTTGTCAGCGATGATCTCCCAATGAACATCCTGTTGGGTATGTGCTATCTTTCGATTGCACAGGCCCAGTTTGACTGGGACCGAAAAGTGGTCAAATACACACAACTTGGAAAGGGGAGCGCGATATTACGTAAGTTTAAGGCTACTAGTCTGATCGAGTCCTACGGATGCATGTGTGCGGCCGCGTTCTATAACTATTATAAGCAAAATCCGGAGGAGGGTATATACTTAGTTTATGTCTCTGCAGCAGGCGAGCCGGTGAAAATACCGCCGGCGATAGAGGGAGTAGTCGCTAAATACCCTGATCTATTTAAAGAGTCGAAAGGTGTTGTTGAGAGGGAGGTCGTCCACACGATAGAGATTATCCCAGGATCTAGTATTCCAAAGGGTAGAATATATCGGATGTCTCCAGGCGAGCTCGATGAGCTTCACCGACAGCTCAAGGAACTCATAGAGAAGGGTCGGATCCGGCCTAGAGTCTCCCCTTACAGATCACCAGTCTTTTTTGTACCGAAAAAGGGGGGGACCTTGAGGATGTGCATTAATTATAGAGGCCTCAATGCCATCACTGTGAAGAATGCAGAGCCCCTTCCGCGCATCGATAACTTGTTGGACCAAGTGCAAGGGTGTCGGTACTTTAGTAAGATAAATTTGAAGTCCGGATACCATCAGATTGCAATGCGACCCGAGAATCAACACAAAACCTCATTTCAAACCAGGTACGGTCTGTATGAGTTTGTAGTGATGCCTTTCGTCCCTTGCAATTCTCCTGGCACCTTTCAGCACGCCATGAACCGGATCTTTCATGACCACTTGGATAAGTTTGTCATCGTGTACCTCGATGACATACTTATTTTCAGTAGGACTGTCGAGGAGCTTGTTGGCCATTTAGCCAAAGTCCTTAGCCTCCTTCGACTGCACCAGTTCAAGATCAACGGGGAGAAGTGTGAGTTTGGCCGCATCCGAATCTTGTACGTGGGTCATGAGATTTATGGGGAGGGATTGAAGCCCGATGATGGGAAGGTGGCCAGCATTTCTGACTGCCCGTGTCCTCAGTCTGTGACTGAGATGAGGCCCTTCTTAGGGATGACCGGTTACTATCGAAATTTTGTCAAGAACTATAGCATAGTGGCCGCCCCGTTGAAAGACTTGACACGCCTCGACACCCCGTGGGAGTGGAAAGATAGGTGTGAGGCAACTTTCAGACATATGAAGCATGCCCTCACTCACCATGAGGTCTTGACACTGCCCGATCCAGACAAGCCATTTGCTGTGACCACGCACTCCCGCCAATATGACATTGGTGCCGTACTTGCGCAGCAGGAGGGGGAAACGTTGAGGCCGGTAGAGTACATGTCCAAAAAGATGCCCTCTAAAAAGCTGGTCAAGTCCACTTATGAGAAGGAACTCTACGTGATCTACAAAGCGTTGACTCACTGGAGGCATTACCTTCTTCGTCTCTTCTTCTACGTCAGGGTTGATCATCAAACCCTGAGGTGGATGAAGACTCAACCAGTACTCTCCGATGCTCTGAAGCGATGGATCGAAGTCATAGAGCAATATGACTTCGAGCCCCAGTACATCAAGGGGGAGTACAACAAGGTTGCTGGTGCGTTGTCGCGTAGGCCAGACTTCCTCGGTGCGTTGGTTACTGAATTTGGGCTTGTGGACAATGTTACTCAGTCTATGGTGGAAGCCTACCGCGAGGACACGTTTATGGCCAAGATCATACGCAGACTCGAGGCAAAAGACAAAGCAACTGATGACGAGTTCGTGTTGGTCATCGACCTGCTGTTTCTTGAGAAGCCCGGGACGAAACGCTTGTGTGTTCCAAACCGGGAGTCTTTGTATAGTTTATTTTTTTAGGCGAGAGTCATGATGCCACTGAACATTTTAGGTATAGGAAGATTGCAACAAATTTGTTGCAGCGGTTTTGGTGGCCCACAATGATGAGAGATGCGAAGCTATTCGTGGAGACTTGTCAGGTGTGTCAGAGAGCCAAGCCACGTACACAGACCCCTCTTGGGCTTCTCAATCCCCTTCCGATTTCGGGAAGGCCCGGTGAGAGCCTGTTTATGAATTTCATGGACACGCTGGTCAACAGTAAGAGCGGAATGAGATATATTTATGTCATTGTGGATAGGTTTAGTAAATATGCTAGATTAGTTGCAATGCCTACTACAGCTAAGACCGAGTATGTGATCAAGCTGTTCAAAGAGAACTGGGTCGAAACTTTGGGTTTCCAAAGTCTATTGTGAGTGACAGGGATGTCAGATTCACCATTGAGTTGTGGAAGACTGCCGCTGCAAAACAGGGAACACGTTGTACATGACTTATGGGAACCACCCAAAGGCAAACGGGCAAGCAGAGCAGTTGAACCGCGTTGTACAACATTTGTTGAGGCATTACATTAAGCCTAACCAGGTGGACTGGGATGAGAAAATCGCTCTCATCGCCAACTTGTACAACATTGTTGTGCACATCGCAACAGGGGTGAGTCCTAATAGCCTGGTATTGACTTTTAAGCCTAGACTGCCTCTAGATTTCAAACTACCTGAGAATCATCCAACAACTGCACCTGGTACGTTAGAATTTGCATATCGATATGAGCAGTTGATGCAGCAAGTTGTAGAACAAATGCACAAGGCGCAGGCGGTGATGATAGGATCTGAGAAAAAACACCTTTGCCCATCTTCATTTCAGGTAGGGGACAAAGTTTGGGTCAAGTCCTCAGAACTGGGACAGAAGCACATGATCTCCCGCAAACTCATGCCACAATACTTTGGACCATGGGAGGTTCTGGATATTGTCGGGGGTGATCCGGATGAACCGTCTTATGTAATCCGGATCCCTGGTCATCTTCGCACTTACCCTGTCTTTCACGCCTCGAAACTCGCACCTTTCAAGGAAACTGATCAGTTTCCCTCTCGTCGCTCAATGCTGCCCCCAACCATGGATGGAGAGGTCGACATCAATGACATTGTGGACCACATGGAAATGCCAGTTCCAAGACCAACAGGTAAGGGATGTCCTCCTAAGCTGAAGCTGCAGTATCGCGTTCGGCTTGAACATCACACTGATCCTAAGGAGAAAATTGGTTTACCCGGGAGGAACTGATGCAGACTGCTTCATAGGCTGTCGCTCAATACGAGAAGTCACTGCAGAAAGGAAAGCGCCAGATTGAGTAATGGAACTTCTAAGAGGATTGTCGAAATATGGACGAGGGAATGCGAGGCTCAAGGCCACGTTACGCCCTACTGCCAGGCTACTGGGCCGTATTTTCAGTACAGTCGGTCGCCCTAAGTGAAGGCAGGCGCGACCAAGGCCTACAGACCCATTTTGGGGGTCACCTTGCAAGTGGGGAATTTCAAGCAGTTGCGCAGCGCCAGTTGGTTGAGAACGCCCAGGTCCAGGCTGCCTTTTTCATATGTAACTAGGGCAGGCCCTAGGCTAGATACGCAACACAGACCGAGCAAAGGCTGCAGGCAGTTGGGCACGGACAACCACCACAAGCCCTGGGACTGATTCGTTTGGACTGGGGCTCGACCTCTCCGGGCCTATCGGAAGCTTCTGGGCAAGAGCCCAACGCAGCCAGGCTTCACGCAGCAGGCAGACCACTTCCATTTAGGAAAGTTCATGCCCACGCATTCGGCATTCGGGCACTCGCTGCATGATGCGCTAAACGCTGGTCAGGCCCACACGATGACGGGCGAGCACTTCCATTTAGGAAAGTGCCTGCCCACGCATTCGGCATTCGGGCACTGCCTGCATGCTGCGCAAGCGTTGCTGCGCTAGACGCTGGTCAGTCCCGCACGCTCACGGGCGAGCTGGGAGAGCATGCCGCCATAGACGAGCTGCGTTGCGCTGAGCTGGATGGGGCACATTGTGGTCCTTGGGTGCATGTGGTATCTATGAGTGGGGGATCGAGGTTGTAAGTGATACGAGAGACATACCTGGTGCTTGAGGCGAACGACATTAGCCGAGTCTGCCCGTACTTCGGGGAGCTGTTGATGTCACCAGCGACATTGTAGATAGGCTAGATAGCATTTGCCATTTGTAGTCTGGGCGCAAAGCGCCAGGTAGGATATCAACATTGGTTCGTTGTTGATGATGATGAGACTATTCCAACATTGTTACTTATGAGTTTTTCTTGTGCTCTTATTTGGTGGAACTCGTGTCGCAATTCTGTTTTTGGTTTGAGGTCACGACTATCTGGTCTCATGTGTATGATGCTGCTTGGTTTCTGAAGTTCGCTATCGCTCATTTTCCTTACACAGGAGAAGGTATCCCAGAAAAAGGTTTGACACGAGTGCACCAAGTGAAGTTTTTGTTCTCATATTCATTTTTTTTTTTTTTTTTTCCGGACACAATGTTGAATGCTCGTTTCCAACATCTGCCACATTCACGTCCTTCTAACCTCTGTTGTGGCACATATATTTTGACATCATATTCATCAAGCTCAGTGAATCGACAGGTAAGGACATTGAGACTATCATCTTCTCATCCTATGCTTTTCAATTCTTCGTAACTTATAATCTCATAGGGGAATAATTATTTCGTCCTTAGAGAGTTGAGGGAACTTAATAGTTTTTTTTTTTCTCTTCACTAAGTTTTGCATGTGTTTTTCCTAGCTTCAACCGTGGTCTCTCTCTTTGAGGTAAGTAATGTAGATTCATTTATATTTGTCATCTCTTCTCACTTTCATAGTGAACTTAACTACAACAGACCAATTGTTCCTTGAGTGATTGATATCAGGTAAAGCATGAGTAAAATATTCCTCAAAAATCGAATGAAACATTTTTCTCCTTTTTAAGTTTCTCCTTCTCTTTCAACATAACTGCTTCAACAAATTTTCAACATACTCCCTTAACAGGCATCAACACATATCTCTTTAGGAACATAAATCTTAGGTCATAAGTGTCCAACTCGATGAAGTGGAATGTCATAATATGGAACCGTTGTAGTTCCCTCCCAATTTCGACCATCTCATACTTGAGAACCTCATATGGGAACACTTCGAGCATTCAAAGATTTCAAACATTCTTACTTTGAGCATTCAAGGATTTCAAGGGACACTCAGCATTCTCCTTACTCAGACTTGACCCTCTTCCAAATTATGATCTCCGCTATCTAATTTCTTTTGCAAAAACTTCTTTTGTTCTCATGACAATTCATTTATTTATCCCACTTCGGTGTCATGTTAATAATCGACAATCAATTACTTCCGTCATAATAACTGTCGGGGATAGGAGGAATAAAAATTGTCTCATAAGTCACTGACATTAAACCCTATTCCACTTTCTTTTTTTGTCCGGTTATTTTTGCCTTCTCGTTATAAATAAATTGAATGACAGTTTTCCACAACCGATTAAAGGCATCACCATCATTGCAAACTTCCTTGTTGACGTAAGAACGAATATTATAGATATTTCATTTCAAGATGTGAATTAACACTATGCAGATAGTTGAACTCTCATAATGATTGGTCCAACAATGCTCGTACTGATAGGGAAGTATCGCCTTACAAGTGAGTTTATAAAGTTCATTCAATGCATTTTTGACGAACATTTCAGGATGAATAAAATTTTATATTTCTGCTTTGCTCTCTTCTTTCTAAGTTTTTCAAGAATAGTAAGGTTCAAAAGGCATACCTTTAAATAGGCTTGATCCTCTCCAATTAAGTAATATCAATCTCCTTCTCCAGTGCAGAGTAGTACCTCACACATGAAGAGATTAAACACAGTTAGCAACCGTGGTCTCCAAGAGAATCATGACTCAATAAGGATCAAGACGTTGTCAACTGTTCTCATGCCCTAATAAAAGCTTAAAGTTAATATTTACCTAGGCTCATTTCGGACATAACTTTTTCATGTCTCCGACAACGATGTCATTTTTTTTTCACTTTTTTCAATTAAGCCATTTCTGACAATCGGAAAGCCAACAAGTTGTCACACAGGATTTTGAAAACTTTTGCAATAAATAAATAAATTAAATGAAGCGAATCTTTTCTTTTTTTGTGCGTCCAACTTCAAGGAAGACCCTCCAATTGCGGTCTTCATTGATCCTTGGTCTTATGAATCTTTTATTATGATTCGAAACAACAAAGATCAAGCAAATAGTAATTATAAAATTTTAATGTGCCATGTATATATCAAGTTTGTTAATTTACTAACTTTAAGAACTGTCACTAGATCATTAGAAAGCATAACTTCAAACGAAGTCAATGCAAATAAAGCAGAATTGACTTACTCTAGGCAAAATCAAGATAAATGGGGGAAGGCGAAAACTCATAATAATTTCGAAAACTACAGATGAATACACATGGCCAACACTCTTCAAAAATCCTCACTCATTCCCCCCAAGTCTCATCCTCAATCTCTCATTTGACTGTGTGTCTCTTGTGCTTTGAGCCACGTCAATGTACCTCCTAGGATTGTGACATAGAGATATAGAGTCACCTAAAACATGCGAGTCTTACATCGTCCATCCAGGACCGAAAATATGGAAGTCAACCAGAGCACAAAACTCCCCTCATAGAGTAGGGAGATATGGTTTGGATTCTGGAAAAGATCCCTCGCTTGAGATGTGAAAACTCTAAGGGTTCGGTCACTACCTCATAATCAATCTTTGCACGATAGATATACCTCTTCGCTAAATCAACCAAGTCACTCCAACAAGAACTGTCTGTGAGAGGGAAGGGGACTGAAGGTTTGGGCTATCTGCTGTAGAGCTTGGGTCCAAAGCTACGGACCAGCCTTGTGCCACTCTCATCAAACTTTCGCTCTCTCTTTTCAAGATATTTGATTGCTGAGGTCCGGACTGAATCAAAGTGCTCATGAGTTTCCTTTCTTTTTTTCACGTAGAGTCATAAGTCGTGAATGGTGTTCTCTGCAAATTTGGTGAGGATAACGAAGATTAACAAATCTTCTTGTTTGAAGTCAGCTGCACTTACATATTGGTATTGGACAACATATTCGAATACCGCAACTAATCTGAATGGTTTTGAGAAAAATTGTGAGTAAATTCAAAACAACTCCTCTGACAGAATGTCATTGTCGAAAGCACCGACTAACTTATACCGATCTGGGATATGGCTGATACTAACGATGTCTTCAACGACCGAGTGTTGTCAAGTAGCAGGCCACTGAATGTTGATCATTGACTGCA